TACTTTACTCTGCTTTTATAAATTACAGGTTTCTAAGTGATACAGAGAGCATCAAAGTGCCAGGTAAAAAAATAATCCAAGATAATTCTGCTTCAGTGGTTTCCATTAATAGCAGAGAGGGTGTAGATCTACATTTTCTTCCCCCCCTCGCTTTTTTTTTTCTTTTTCTTAAGGAGATTAAATAGTGTAACACCAAGTCACGGTGCCCATCAGCTCTGCCAGAAGAGTTCCTTCACTGCTTCAAGAGCTTGATCCCACATCTTTGCAGACCAAACCACTGCCTCACCCACATGAGCAAGGGTAGTTGTCCATTTTAAACAAACAATTCCTGTGTAATTTATATTCCATCGCTTCTGGCAAATTTATGCTCAATGCGATTTGATTTCCATATCGTCATCTGGTCAGCATTGGAAGGACAGTGCTGAATTCTCTTTTATGGCTTTAGTTTTAATATGCCTAGCTTTATGCAACAGTGAGATATGCTCCTACTTGGCAGGGTGTGGGTTTCTTCAGTGGGACTTTTGGTCCTTTAATCTTTATATTCTGCTCAAGCAAAATTCTCTCCAGGACTACTCAGAGGCTTGCTTCACATTGGGCTAAATAACACAGTCCTGAGAGCAGCTACAGTGAAACACAAGTAACAGCGTTTTGGGAGGTTACCAAAAATGCTGACACCATCTAGCATGTCTAATGTTGACTTCCTCACAGCCGCATGCTGGACAGAGAAAAAAGCTTGCCTAAGACTCCGGAGCGGTTTTAACCTTTTTTCCAGGCCCCTCTAACTGTTTCCAGTTGAGTTATAGGCTTATTGTTTTCAACAGGAGAGCGAGCCTCTCTCTTTGCAAATCCTAGTAGTAAAGTGGTGAGGGGGCTACAAATGCTGATGAACTAGGTGCATGCTGTCTCTCTTTATATGCCTTATTTGCTTCATCAGATCACTGCGGACCTCAAATCTCAGCAGCAGCACTGGTTTTACCCATTCTCATATTCAGACTTCTCTGCTATTCCAAGGTCCTGTGTGTCAGGGTTGTAGACACAAGATTTTTGTGGCATTGGATACTGGTCATATGCTTTTTCATTTGTTTAAAATTAGCAAAGAACTGGATATTTTATTTTACTCCTCCATCAGTCAGTGCTTTCAGTGTTAAGTGACTGTCCCGTCTTTGTCTTCAACCCCATGGAACCAGAGAAAGTGTAAGAGTGACCACTGCTGTCTCTATTGAGAGCTACTTTATCAAAAGGGACTTAGAGCTTGATAACATCATAGGGGATGAAATAGCCTTAAATATACTCAAATTTTTATTGTACAACATCAACTAGATGCTATTTATTCCACATATTTGTATATTAGTGTTGCATTCAGAATGATATTAATTTCCTTTTATGTTTTTAAATGTTTGTGTTACCCCTTTAGTGCATGCTGGAGATCATGCAGGATCCTACCAAAGAAACCCAATTAGCACGGGTATAAAAAAGAAAAAAGGAAGGATTAAGTTCTTACAGGAATAATAATAGTATCTGCAGTTACACCAGAGAGAGTAAAAGTGACTAAAGCCTCTATCTCCTGATTTCAGAGCACTACTTTATTTCCAGCTGGGATCAGAAAGAGATTTTCTTCCACAGTCCAGCATATGGAGTGAACAGGTCACACTGGGAATGTTTTATCATCTTTTACAGTATTCACAGTCTATGGCTGGAGACAGGTCATCAGCATGGACCACTGACCCAATCTGTTTCAACATTTCTCTAGTTCCTCACCTTTTTTCTTTGCTCCTTCTGTCTTTCTCGGAACTCCTCTATTCCTTTCAGTTCATCCTTCAGCATTACTGCCAGCTGGATATGAGAGTTTCCAACACTTTCAATTTCTAAAGCAAATCAGAATTCACATACAGTCAGTGGAAAGGTCTTTAAATATCAAGTCACATTTTTTAGGAGATATTTCTGGGATGTATCTGCTGTATGACTTGTCACGAACTGGGCAGCCTTAAAAAAGGCCTCCCTATCTTTCTGCATGCACTGACATTGCTGAGGGTTCACACAACCTGAATAGGGCTTATTGCAGGTCCTCTCAGTGCCTGCAAGTTGCATGGGCAAGACTCCTCACTGCAGAATCGGAGCACCCACTCAGAGGAGCCTTGGCAAGTGCAGAGCTGGCTGCATTTCTTCATAGCCACATTTACCCCAGCCACCCCTCTTCCTTCTGCAGCTGGAGGTCAGACATTGTGGTGCAGAGGGAGGGAAGGAGCTCTGACCTCCATCATCACCCCCTATGTCTGCTTTCCCTGCACTACGCTGCTGGATTGTCATTGCTCTTGGGAGCTGTTTGCCAGTTGTGTCCAGCCTTGCACACATGTCATTAGCTGAGGTTGCAAGCTGAGAATTTCCAAGGGTCAGCAAAGACAGATTGAATTTCAGAGCACCCGGCCGACGCTGTTTGAAGTGGCTGGTAACTCCTCTGCATTTGTCAGCTTTGGTGCCTCTGAAATGGAACCCTGCATTTTCCAGAAATGTTGAGCTCCCCCACCCAGGCTCTAAAAATACCTTCATTCACCAGCTGCTTTTCAAAAGGGTGTTTTTATCTAAACAGCAGATGCCAGTAGCCAGGTACGCTGTCCTATTGGCTATGACAGTGTTGCATTTTTTGTGTATGAAAGGTTTTCATTCAGCCTTGGGCACATTTGGAAAGCATGCGGTTCTGATGTCAGTGGTTTGCAGAAGAGGGAACAGAGCTGATAGTTTGTGACTTGATCCAGATAAAACTAACTTGAGGAACAAGCCATTTTATTTGCCACCAGAGAGTGGACTGAGTGTCCAGCCTTGGGGGACTCCCAGTGAGTATCCTTCCCCTCCACTTTCCATACTACAGACTGGGATAGGAAAGTTGGAAATAGAGGGAGGAAGAGGATGAAAGACCCCAGAGGGGATGAAGACATTGTGTGCCTGTCTTAGCCCAAGTCAGAAAGGAAGATGTAAATACTTACGTTGTTTAAGGCTCTCAAATGCTGCCTTCAGTGTGCTGTGAGGCAAAAACAAGTGCACTTTATTAGTATAGGCATCTAAGGATGGGTTGTGAATCTAGAGGAAAAACTTTCCCTCAGAATCTCGAAGATCCACATAGAGATAAAACTCTTAATAGTCTTGTAATAAAAGTTGACCATGCTAACAAGCACAATAGCATCAATCTGTTACCATCGGGAAATGCAATAAAATGCTCCATGAAGCAAGGAATTGCTCTACTCCTTATGTGCATCCTCTTTTTTAATCCCACTGTTTTTGTGAGTGTTAACAGACATTTCTCTATTCTTGCACCTTGCCAAAGGATACAAGTCAACTGAGTGAAATAAAGATGGTCAAGGAGAATTGGGTTTTGGAGCACTAGTCTGAAGGGTAGAGCGAAACCAGCTCCACCCTCTGTGTTGAATGCAGCACCAGCAAATTTTTCCTCCCCGGTCACCCTTGAAGCTAGAGCAGCTCTGCTACGCAGCATCCTCCATACTGTGCTTTCCGAGCACCCCCGTGTGGCACAGCTCCCTCTCCTTTAAAAGACTCACAAATGGTGCAGAGAACCTACGGAGGCTTTGAAACCCTGATGCTCCCAGGGGGTTTTGACATCCCCAAAGCATAGCATGAATAAACCATGCTGTGAAATCAGGCCTCGGTGCTGGGCTGTGAAGTACAGCATGGAGATGAGCAAAAAGAGATGTTATGCTGCTTGTCAGGACAGCCCTGCACAACTAGATGGTCCTACAATGTAGAATTGCAGAAGGGCATGAGAGGGTAACGATAAGATCGCCTGATGTCCTGTGTTTTGGCAAGCCATTTTAAGTCCATTTTAAGAAAACAGCAAAGATACCAGCATAGAAGTAATGGGAGAGGAAAGAGCATAGTCTGTAAGAGGCATTTTCAACTTAATAATTTGTTCTAGCTCCCAGTTTGCAGGCTGGCAGGGCATTTGTATATGCAGAAGCCAGGGCTGTGGTGTGATTTGGAGGTTTTTCAGATTTAGAAATCATCTCTTCAAGACCCAGAGTGTGGTGTTCCCTGAAGGAAACAGTTCTGGGATCTCTATGGAGCCCTGGTCTACCCCAGGTGGGAGCCCAGGGGAAAAGTCTGTTAATGAAGACCCTAAAATCTCCTTGGCTGAAGCCTGGCTACTAGGAGAGCCCAGAAGAGGATGCATATCACTTCCAAGCCATGTGCGACTGCAGATGGGTAGGGAAATCCTGTATCTCTTGGGCCATCTCAGGATTCTTAAGAGACACATGAAGGATCCTAATTGTCCTGTGTTAATTTAGGCTGGACATCTGTTTCCTAATCAAAGCTTGCTCTCCCAGTAGCAAGGCTGCCTTGCCAGCCATAAGAAAAATGCACCGGCAAGGGGAAAGGCTGGGCCTGTCCTCAGTGATAACTGCCTTGCAATCCAATTCCAAAACTAAATTTGTAATAATATAAGGAAAAGACTTTCAGCCAGAAAAGATGAGTATTGAGCTAACTGATTGATCTTTCAGCTTTCAACTAGATTTGTTTTGGTGAATCTCCTGAGATAAGTCAGGGAGAACATGCTTGAGTATTTTTCAGTATTGGCCTAATAATACTTAAACATGTTGAAGGTTCATTTTGCAAAAAATGAGTCTGGTGTGAAATTTTAATGGAATCTAAATTTTCACAACACAAAGGAAACAAAGAGTATTCTTTCCAGCTAAGTCAATTAAAAGCTTGAAATCAAAAGACAAGTTGAATATCAGCAGTAGATAGCTTTTTCTCACCTAAAAGCTCTAATGGATTATTTTGAAAAATTAAATATATACAAGGAATAAAATTTGCTTTTTTTTAGCGTGTATTTTCCAACAGGAGGTGGGGAATGTGCTAACAACTTCATGCCTGAAATAGGTAATACTGGAATTTAAAAAACAGAGGACACTTGCAAACTGCACATACTGTTTGCATGCTGTGATGATCTATTGTTCCCAGAGATTTTTTGCTTTGCTGTTGGTGATTCAGGTTGTGCAAAGACTGGCAAAATTGCTGTAGTGGATAAAGTGCTGAAAAACAGCGCTTTCTCAATACTTATCAAGGACAAAAGCCATTTGCTGCTTTTTTGGTTTCCAGGCATGTGAGCTACCACAGTAGTTCATGATCATGAGCCATACATGAAGCTTTTCTCCTTTTTGCTGGCTCTCTGTAAGGACGAGTCTGTCTTCTGGTATAATAATGCATCTGGCTATGAACTGGAGAGAGTCCAATTTGCCCCCTGCATGGTGTCTAATGGCCTTTTCAGAAAGCTCTCACCTTTTGCTCCTTGTATGAAAGATTTGTCCAGCCAGTTCCCTAGCTGCTGTCTGGGGCAAGGCCACAGTCCATAAGTAGATTGAAACAGCCTTAAGCCATTTCATTCCTTATTTTTATAATAACTTTCTAAAAATCAGTGAATTGGATCCTGCATGCTTATGGGGCTTAAGGGAGTAGCAAACATGTCATTGTGCCAAGTTATGTGTGGGAGAGAATAAATAAATCCAATTTTGACCCATGGATCCATCAGGTATTCCTTCATGACTTCTGGGCTGCGGGGATGTGCTGGCTGCAGCAGCAGTGCTATAGATTAGCTCCTCGTTGCCACTAGATGCTCTGATTATATCAGTGCTTTGGAGGGTTTAATGGAAGCGACTCATGTAGCAGACATACGAGTGAGTTTTAATTTTGTCTGTGCTGTTTTGTATATACAGTACCTATTACCTATTTCTTCTGGCTGGGTTTGACTTTCTAGTAGGATTGATAAGGGCTTTATTCTGAAGCATCCAAAGTGAGGATGTCCCTCTCTCATGGACACTTTAAAAGAGTGTTTTATCCTCTCAGTGTATTATGCTGCTTAGCATTGTGGCAGTAATTGATTTTTTTGTTTGTTTGTTTATTCTGTGGCCAAATTAGAAAACCAGGGGTTGAAAATATTTCAAGCAAAACTGAAAATTTGAGATTTGCCTCTTTTTTCTTTTTAATTTTTTTTTTTTTTTAATTGCTCACTTCTGACATTTCCATGTAAATTCTGGAAGACTGTTAAACCACTCCAGCTAAAGACAGAGCACTAGCCTTCCCTTTGGGCACCCCTATGTGGGGCCTCCTGCAGATGTCTCATTGACAATAGGGTTGGACACAAATTTACTGTGCATGTTTGTTAAATGACTCCCGCTTGGACATTTAAAAATTGGATTTGTCAAAATTAATTTCTGGTGGAAACAGGATTGACTTTGAATCGGGAGTAATGGGGACCAGATAGAGCCTGTGCAACAGCCACTCTGCAGCAACTGCTGGTGATTTTTGCCATCTAGTGGCTAAATTATTCTTACAGTTTCCTGGGATATCGACCCTGGCTGCTGCCTTCCTTTGCTGTAGAGTCCTGCTACTCGAGTACAGCGGAATTGAACCACTTTTGTAAAAGATGCACGTTTCAGTGTCTGTTTTTTCAAGCGGAGGGGGAGAAGGAGAATAGCAGAGCGAGGAACAGGGGAACCAAGGGGAGAAGCTCATTACAATAAAGCTCATCCATTGCTTAGCATTCTTACTCTGTAGATTGCAAAATACTTTCGAAAGTGAACTTACCCGAATTTACCCAGCATACCAAAGCTGGAAAGGCAACCCTGTCTCTCTGACACTGACCACTAGTCCCTATGGCTCTCCTCTAACAGGATAAACATTTACAGAATGCATCATTTGAGAGCTTGGTTTGATTTTTCTCCCAGCAGAACCTGTCCCCTACTTTCAAGGCAGAAAATGCATCTTGTATTTGAGCAGAGGTGCCTTGTTTGATACTCACCCACCATCGCAGTACAGTTATGAGGAGTAGTGGGGAACCACTGCATCTGATCATAAATCCATTTCACTCACTGTGGAAAACTATCTTATAGTTGGTTCAGGAAGGGGACTCCATTTGAACAGCATGGGATGCCAGCACTTCAAAGTTAACTTGTCCTAGCTGCTCTCTGTGTTTGCTTTCTCTCTCTTCATTTTTGGACCTTGTTTTTGCTAAAGAACTGGGCTGTTGCTGGAGGGCAAGATGCACTGGGCAGTTCTACGTGACACAAGGACCACCAGAAAATGTACTGTAGGTAGGGCTCTGGTGCCTTCTGCTTCACAGTCATCAAAAACCGAATTTTGTGGCACCAGAGATGTAATTAGCAGAGTTCTATCAGTGGCAGTGCTTAGGTCATAGGTATACTCACTATGTACACTGTTGCACCACACCCTTTCTTTTGCAACTGTAGGCTTGATGGTTTGAGTTGGGGTTTGTTTTTTTTTTTCAGTACTTTGCCTTTTCACTCAATTAGAGACTAGTTTAACTGAGTAATTCAGAGACTCCCTTTACATCTTGTACACAGGAAGGTAAAACAGGTTCTTCTAACCGGAAAACCACAGCTCTTTTTAAATTTTCTTTCTTTACTACCTTTGCTTGGTGAATAGAAGTGTGAAATAACCCCACCTTCCTTTCTGGTAGGTTTCCATTTTAACATCAATATGATCTACTATGTTCTGTTCTTGTAATTTTTTAAAATATTATTTCTGAAATTGAAAGAAGTCTCTGCCAGATTAACTTCTACAGACCACATTCCAGCAGTCCTGTTCACCCTCTGCCTCTGGTAACTTAGATCCTGATAACATGGTGACAAAACCAACCCACAGCAAGTC